AGGGATTTATAATACAATAATGTTGTGTCTCTATGCTATGTAAATATTTCCTACAAACAGAAGTTTCAGTATAAATTAATATAATAGAGGTTTTTCGCTGACGTCACGTATCCCGTAGCAACCCCGATGGCCGCCATCTTGAAGGTCACATTGTCAATATAAACACATGTAGTTTTAACGATGTTCGCGAAAAAATCTTACTTATCCTCACTTGATCCACCTTCAAAAGAGAGATGTCTACAAAATATAGCATCTATTAATAAAATAGATGCTTATGAAGTACAAAACAAGGACTGGAGCCCAAATATTAGCGATTTTCCGGCGAGTCACGTTCTTGGATCTCGTGACGTATCTCGTTCTAAAGTCAAATGCTTATACTCTTGACCAATTCCGCACATTGTTATTGTATGGCTAGTCTTGGAGAAACATGCACCCACGTAGGGGCTTTACTGTTTGCAATTGAATGTTATATTCGACACCGGGAAACAAAAACAGTCCCACTTTTTCTAAAAGCCTGCTGGATTGTGATTAAGTAAGCTATGAACCTGTTTCTGAGATTGTTTTTACATCTGCTGTTTCTCAAAGGAAAAACTTGTATATTCTAAGAAACACTGGGAAGAACGAAAAACCGTTTAGGTGCAATGTGGTTTTTCCTAAAATGACATTTGACTAGATCGATCGATCATACGAAAAGATCACGGTCGTTCAGTGTGAGATTTTGGCGTTTGGTATAGTAACAAATTTATCCATAAACTTTGCTTTGCTTAAATTATCACATTAACAACATTTTAACTCAAAATAAATGACAATCGATCAAGTAATCTGAATGGAAATGGTCCGAAGAGACTAGAATGTGCTTACTCGGCGTCCATTCTTTCCGACATAGGTTTGCTAACAATTTATCGCGTCTCTTTGACGAAATATCCATCGCTTTTCCACCTTGATGAGTGATTACACTCGGGAAACAATAATTAAACTTTTTATTGCGATTTGAGCGATTTGAACAACCGACAACGGAGCAAAAATCGACCATGTTTTCACTAACACTGACTGTTACAGCTTGTTGGTTGACCTTCAAGATGGCCGCCAACGCGTTGTCAAGGAAACGTGACGTCACACGAAAAACCTCTATAATCATAGTTATACTTGAAGAGATAATAAGTTATCTATCTGATTCACTTGATTTGTACTATAAGAATAATATTTAAGTCATCTAAAACTAAAATGAGATTCCCTGGTAAATTAAAAAAAACAACTATATTTCAAAATTGCATCTAAAAGAAAAAATCACTGATAAAAATACCATTTCACAAGTTTATAAGCAATACAATACAGACATGAATTTGCATAATTACTTTGGGGGAGGAGAGGGTGAGCAGAAACGGGCACCTCATTGAATGGATTTATTATAATAATTGGTAGTTTTGTACTAAGTCGATCTATTGTCCTTGGATAAATTACCCGCACTGTACTCTATTATTGTGATTACTACATTCTATTTGAACTAAATTAAGTCTTAATATACATGTACTTAGTCGAAAATATACTTGCAAATTGAGCCGCGTTATTTCAGAGGGTAAAGCTTAAGCTCTCTTAAGTTAACTTATCAAAAAGTGAAATTTTATAGCGATCAAATATTTTGATCAACCATCAAAGTTTTCATCGGCTTATTTAGTGTCAATGAAATATAGCTCCTTAACAATCTTCAATATGCGAAGAAATACTAGATTTCACCACCAAATATTTCATAAAAAACACGTGTAGGAAAGCTTCTCTACAAAGATTACCTTACAGGGAGTTGTTTCCTTACCTAAGCCCATGTTAGCAGCTTTTGCCGACAATTCTTCTTCAGCCATTACAGATCTCTTCTTTCGTAGCTTGTCACTGATGCAATGATCTCGCAATAAATAAGGAAGCTGCTTGTAAATTCCTAGAACTGACCAGAAATGACCAAAATAACTACCGGCGTTGCATCAGAAAATCTTTGAAATGCGCAAAATCGGAAGATTTTCAACTAGGGTAGGGAGGGGTGTGGAGATATTRGAAAATTTCTTAATTATATCCATGTTGACAAAGGAGTAAAATTTCCAACGCTCCATAAAGAATAAGAATATTTAATACCCACTACATATTCAAAAAGTATGATTATTATGGAGTAAAAATCGTAAAATATCAAAATGTCCAAACATAAACAAAATTACCCCCRCCGGGTAAGGCATACTTTATTGACAATTTGTTCCCAATCTCTCTCCACTTGAAAAATTCAAGATGGCGGACGATTCGCGGGAATTGCACTTATCCAAATTTGAAAGGATTTACACGTGAAAATAGGTTCTTCTGCTGGTTTCCTTTGTCAGACGAATARCTTTGTATATATTGTAAATGCAGCTACTATGTATTTGAAGATTTAAAARCTGATTTGTGCAATTTTGTGGATTTTGGAATCCTTTTACTCCAAATGATGGAAAATAACATGCGCACATACAACTTTCAATTGCCTMAATTTACGGTAGATGTTTTACAATGAATCGTATTTGTAGCCTTCGYCTGTACAAAACTGGTACACCTTCTAGGTTAAGATCATTCAGAAGAACTTTGTCATCAAGATTGAGTCACGACGATCTCTCACCGAGATTTAACCCTCTAAACATTCAAATGCTGTCCAAGGTCCTACACTCACAACTGTTTCCTGGTCTTGTACAAGAGCCCGATTCTAACATCATTGAAAAATGCGTTGCACACTTAAAAGAGCATAATCTTTGGGATAAAAACAAAAATGTTATTCCAGATGTGAACTTAAAACTGCCGAAGCTGCTTGGCTCAAACATTGACGAGCACTTTAGGACGATTGCTAAACAGCAGAGCAAGCCATATTTTGATTTGTCAGAAGAACTGGCTGACACACTGYTGCCTCGTCAGCCAGAGGACTGGGCTTTTGTCTCAGGGTGGTCAAAATATGAAGTGTCGGACCAAGGAACAAAGGTTACACCTGTAGATTTTCCTGATGAAGATGGCTTTGTATTTGATGTAGAGGTAAAAAATCTTTATAACTGATAAAAACCTGACCAAAAAGGAATTATAGTATTTCGAGCAGACTTTGTGGGAGAATATATTCTGGGCTTCCTGTGTTACCCTGATGCAAATCCTAAACAGGATTCAGTAGGGTCTTATTTACGGATGAGATCTTAAATAGGATCCTTTGTAAGAACAGGATCCAAACTAGGATCATGAGCAGGATCCTGCCTAGGAATAGGATCTTACACAGGATCGCATTGTTATGTAAGATCCTAAGTAGGAATAGCATCCTAAACATGATTTGCCCCAGGGTATATTGGGACTGGGACTGGGTCCCATTCATTCATTTCTGAAGTGATTGAAGTTTTATTAAATACTGATCCCCCACCCCCCATGGGGAATCGTATTAAACATTGCTCTTTTGTCTTCTTCCTCCATCACTTCGTTACATCAAATTAYAGCTAATATGGGGTTATAAACAATGTAAAGATTTGAATATGTCGACTGGCAGCATGGAACTATAAAAAACATGAAGCTGAGMAACCTAACATGTATTTCACCTCAACCTGCTCCCATTCTGACCTTGAACAATAGCTYAATTGGTTGAGCATCTGTAGTACAAACCCAAGGGTTGTAGGTTATTAGAATCCCAGCAAGGTCAGAAATTAGTTAATTCCTTATTTAGGGTATTTCCCTGAAATAACCTCCTTCTAAGCACTGTAATTTTTCATTATTTTCATTTCATAAAATTTACTCTATCAATCTATTTTAAGGTCTGCCAAAATGAAGGACCCTTCCCTACCTTAGCTGTAGCTGCTTCTCCAAAGGCATGGTWTGGCTGGGTMAGTCCAAAGCTTGTTGAAGAGAAAAGCTACCAATGGCTTGTAAAAGCAACACCTTCATTAATGATTCCACTTGAGACTTGTGATGGACAGGACATGAGTAAAACTAGATGGAGAGAAAAGCTTGTTGTTGGTCACTCAGTTGGATTTGACAGGTCATATGTGAAGGAGCAGTATTACATCAAGGTAATGAAATTTTTTGATGTTTTTTAAAATGTTTGTCATTTTTTAGTACATGTATGTGCACTTCAAGAATTCCAACCAACAACAGAACAGCGCGCAATTGTGTTATTGTTTAGTGTATATGTTTTTARAATGCATCAAGCATAGCATAGATTCTAGATTAATAGTACCTGTGTGAGGTACTTGATAGTACCTGTGTGGTACTTAGTTAAAAGTATTTCTGTCAAAACTGAAAGGATGGAAGGATGGAATGGTGATTTGGCTTGCAAGGCACAGCGGTTAGTTGTGATTCTTTGAAGGAACGTATTGTGTGGCATCCCTTTTGGGTGGGCATTTACCTTTTGGAAGATGTAATATGCTTGTTCAAAACAAAAGACAAAAAGTGCTATTGTTCTTTTAAGAATGACACAGCCAATCAAAGAATTTGTTCTTGAGAGAAGTGAAGACTACCATCCCTTTTGAGCTCCTATTGTTTTTAGAACGTTTTTGTAATTATATTCTCTATTGCCATTATCTTATTGTAGTAACTATAAAAAATAATATCTTCTCAACAAGGGACCAAAGACCTATTTCCTAGACACACTAAGTCTGCACATGTGTGTGTCTGGATTAACTGGACACCAGCGYCACTTGTGGAATGCAAACCAGGCAGGACGTAAAGCCAGTCAGCAATGGATGGAYGTYGGMTCAGGTAACAAGCTTGAGCACCTTTATGAGCTGTATTGTGGACAGGAAAACCTGGACAAGTCAGGACAGCAAGTCTTTATTGATGGTAATCTTGACGATATTAGATCTCAATTCCAGGTAATAAAMAATGCCCTTAGAAAGTGTGTGCAGACTAATTGTTATCTGGGYTAGAAGTGCTGAGTTTTATAGTCAGTCTCTTCTCTTGCTGTTTTGAGAGTTGAGGTGGGCAAAGGAAAGCTCCTTCTCCTTCCATTGGGATCCCTGTGGATGAGGAAAGAGGGCTGCCATGCAGGCTATCCCATCAAACCCTTCAAGCACAAAAAGAAAATATGGACTGGACATGAGGAAATGGAATTTATATAAGCTTTACTAATGCTATTAATGGGTATTAAAGTATATATTACTAAATATGGTCACCATCTTGAATRAGGTGGAAATTATGGGATATCAAAGAAGGAAAAAAATTCTTGAATGTATAGAATCTAATTGTATGGAAAAACTCAAAATTACTGTTAGTAAACAAAGGGGGTAACCTTCAACTGTGTGGTCATCACATCCAGGAGAGTTGCAGTGCTCCTGGTTGTTGCCTGCCACTGATAAAATATACGTAATTTTTCTTTGATAAAGTGAATTTTGAAATCTCTTTTCTAGTACTCCATGTGCAGTGACTAATACTACAGCGACCAGTAATCATTAGTGGCCTTAACTTTCATTTACTTGACCTCTAGGAGCTTATGTCATACTGTGCCAGCGATGTTTCCGCAACACATGAAATATTTACCGTCATATGGCCCATCTATAAAGAKCGTTTTCCACACCCAGTGTCRTTTACTGGGATGTTAGAGATGGGTTCGGCCTACCTTCCTGTAGATGAAAGCTGGGATAACTATATCCGAGATGCAGATAACACCTTTGAGGATCTGGAGAAAGAAATGAAGGGCATCTTGATGAAGCTAGCTGATGAGGCTTGTAATTATCAACATGGACAAAGGTAGGAACTAGGAGGGGAGGGGAGGGGAGGGGAGGGGAGGGTTTGGGGTGCTAAGAGGAGCTATATCGTACGGTCCTCCATGTAGAATCGTAACCAGAGCATTTTAGGATAAGGTACAGAGAGCGAAATGGGACTGCAAAATATTATTTTCACTCAAGGCAAATCATATTCAGCGATGCAATTCAAAAGCTATCAACTCAAAACATCTGCCAGATTCAATCTAAAGCATCAGGAGGTATTTGAACTGCGTCGCGGGAATTTTTTCCAAATTATCGTTCTTAAAAGTCAAACTCAAAACAGGGTTTCAAGGTTTATTTGTCTTTTGAGCGAATCCTCCCTTAAAATTTTGATTAAAATCTCACTAGTCTAGCAACACTGTTGCTGTTCAAGTTTAGCGTTAGTGTGCTACGTTTTTCATGGTAGCTTTTTTTTCGGTTTCTTCGAAGTTTCCAATGACCAGACAAGGTGAAAAATGAGAAATAAACTACAAAAAATCTCTCGACAAGTTAAGTTGTTTTGTAACTCACATTGCTCGGCCTTAGGCGAACATTTTGTTATCAAGGGACGGTGCATGTATACTCCTCCAAAGTACTCCCCCATAGTTACAGTCATACCTTAGTCGTCCAGGGAAACAAAAGAATTATGTATTGTCTCCCGCCGGGCGTCCTCATTTCTTTTGTGCCTAATTAACCAACTGAAATATAAGTGGGCTGTTATCAGGATGGGCAGACTACAAAAATTTATTTAAGGGTGAAGTTATAAGAAAGACAAAAACAACAAAGGTTTGAATTACTATTTTATACACCCAGATACAAAAAGGATCCGTGGTTGTGGAGTCTAGATTGGTCTGTCCAAGATATCCCTATTAAAGTACCCAAGAAACCAAAACGAAAGAARACAAAACCTCAAAACAGCGAAACCACACCAAAAGTCGAAAACACAGACGAAAATGTAGAACTCAACACTACAAACCTCTCGGACATCGAGGAAAGTTTACTAGATGAACGAGCCTTGTTGGTGTTTGAAAGATCTGGTGATGAAGTGATTRACTTTGMAAAGCTTGAGCTTGACACWCAAAGAGTTAATGATATAATAGCGTCGATACCTTCAGCTGAAGAAGTTATGTATAAAMGACGTCGTCACTTACCAGGATATCCTTTGTAAGTCATCAACAAGAAGTTTGATGAATATAATTTGATTTTTTACTATACTAATGTGAACACTACACCATAACATCCAGGGGGGGGGGGCTTTCTAATAAAAAAAGGCGGGAGTCCTCGTCGGAAATTCTGAAAATGACCCCTAAAAGGGACCTGTATTGTGAGATGATGGGCGTGGCAGTGCTGACGTTTCACCCCTAAGAGGAACCAATCAATAACAGGTCGTTTTGTTTTGGTTCCCGATTTTATTTGTGTTTTTGCACAAGCATCAAACGGCGATCGGCTCGTATTGAGATCACCTTAAGCGGGACCAAAACACTGATTTCAAACCCTAAAGAGGGACACCGCCTTTTTTTATTAGAGAGTCCCCCCTCCCGGGCATAACATCTGGGAAATATTTCGTCATGTCAGGGAACGATGAAAAGAGAATGATTTTCGTAATTTTCAACCTAAAAATGCATTAAAAAATATACAATTTCAACACGATGGCCGACCTTCTGTATACGTACGTCCACTTACTGACACACTTTTGACCTCATTTTGAATATTGTTCAAAACTTTGCAGGTTTGCCAAACTTGTAACAAGTGTTTTTTTTAAGTTGCAATTCCGATGAACTCATTKTAAATGGGAAACATTGTTTCCAAACATCAACAAGTTGTAACKTTTTGTTTATCGTTATTTTGCTGCCTTTTATTCTGGTTTTTAATTTCGTATTGTTGCAACTTGATTTATCTAGGTGGTACAGGAAGATTAGCCCAAGAGACTGGGAACTAGGAACCTCCCTTGTGAGCCCGCAATGTCAAATTGCACCTATGTTACTGCGCATGACTTGGGATGGTTATCCGCTGCACTACAGTCGYAAGCATGGATGGGGCTATCTCGTACCAGGAAGAGAGGACAACCTGAGAACAKCTGGCGAGAYAGAAAATTGTGACGAGGATGACAAAGTTGAAAGAGATTCTCCAGATGCGCCGTTTCCAACAGAGTAAGAAGTGRAAATGTGTGATTTTAACGCTAAAACATATTACAAATTCAAAAWTGTCCTCCCGCATCTAATTTTGTTCTTAGGTTAGTMCATAGGCCGCCCAACTAYTGCTTCAATCTCGTAMCAAGAGCTCGCGTTACTTTTGGTCTGCGACAATGAACGTGAGWTCTCGTCGCTGACYGGTASGAGATTGCAATTGCTTGAGAAAACAAAAGAACGAATGCGCACGCTTTTGTGCTAGTACCTGTATTACTGTTATCGGCGTGMGCTCTTAGCAAAATGTGGGTTACCTGTGGTACTACGTCAGTGATCCCTTGCCTCGCAGGACCAAAAACTAGTCTGGTTAACAGTCCTGGATAACAGTACTAACGTAAAAGGAGTAAAAGCGTTAAAAGCATGCGCATTCGTTGTTTTCTTTCTCTGAAGCAATAGTTAGGCGGCCTATGATAGCGGCTGCGGAGGAGGCTAAGCTAACATCCGTTTTCTCGTGYATTCATAGATCGTTTCWAACACTTTGGGAGCAGCAGCAGCAGCATAACAAGAATAMGACCTTATTAGCTGGTTCCGATGAGAACCTGGATGTGAGGCTTATTACCCAGAGTGACCTCTGGTCCSAGACTGCAGAAGAYAAACAGAGTCCCACCAAAGAGATGACTAAACCAAATAACGAAGTAAATCCAGTGAAAAGAGCGCCTGACCATCATGGAGTTGGKCCATTTTATGATGTAGATCTTCCTGGTGTGTGGTTCTTTCGTATTCCTCATCAGGTTAGTTTGATTACGACCGGTCGGCTTAATATGAAAAACTATCATTCAAAAGGACTTAACCCTTGTATTACTGTCGAATGCTTAGTATGTGGTTGTAATGTAAAAACCTCCGTAAACCGGACGTTTTATTACGTAGTGTTCGTTTATTAATTGGGACTGTATATAGCTATATTTTGTGATATGGATAAACATCTTTTTATTCGAAACTTCAAACTTTCTCTCCGTTGATGTTAAATAAATCTTTGTAATCTGAACTCTGGTCGTAATACTGAAACTAAGGAAGCCGGATTGTAGACATCTGCAATGACTATTACAGCCATTTGTTATGTTGTAAACCTCCTTAATCCGAGCTTCCGCTGTGTCCAGCAGGTCGTATGGTCGGACTGCAATGTGTGTAACGTTGTGTTGATGGTCGTTTATTGATGGTGATGGATATCAGAAAAAAAACAGTCTGTACGCCCGTTTTAACGAACATTGTTTCTGTTTTATAGAATGGCGAGCAGTATCGATGCGGGAACCCTTTGGCTAAAGATTACATCAGCAAGTTGGATGAYGGTACYTTGGTRACTGCTGGTGACCGCAGTGCACGACGGACATTAGTTATCAACAAGATGATTTCTTTTTGGAGGAATGCTCAAAAGCGAATCAGGTCTCACATATGCGGTGATGTCTGTGTACAGTGTTCCTAACCGTTCGTTTTTGCAGCTACCCGTTTATACTATGCTTAAAGTTATGGTTCAGTTCGTTTGGTTAGTCAGGTCACAGGCAGCCCAACTATTGCACGAGAGACTTTTTTGAAAAGTAGCTCGACGTTTGAATTCTGTTTCAATTGTGCCTAAAACAGTATTTTGTTGAAAAGAAAACTCTAATTTTGCACACTGATTGTAGAGTACTAAATTGCCCTATTGCATAATTACGTCCCACCAAAACATTCTATTGTATTAACACTAAGGATTATGGTCTCTAGAGGGGATCAGTACATATCAAATAAAATGTAGATGAGCTATCATTTATAAAGTGATGTACATCAAAACTCGATACACTAAAGTTCTACTTTTGGAAAGAATATTAAAAGGTCCAAATTTCGAGTCTTTCTGAGCATCTATCTACAATGTAAACATACTGTGACGTCATTATGTCATAGGGCAATTGTGCACAGTATTTGGTTCGACAAATATTTTCGTCCAACATGCGAATAAAAGTCGAACCAGTTGTACGACATAAGTCGACTTTAATTGCTTTATTACAGATCACAAATGCCAGTTTGGATCGATTCTAAGGATCTACCAACAGAAATCACAAGGTTGGAAGAAGCTCTCATTTATGATTATAATTCTTTTGCCTAATGATTCAGTTTTTCTCGAAAGATCACGTGACTACAGGTCAGATTCCATATATGGTGCAATCATCCCGCGGGTCATACCCGCAGGTACAGTGACCCGTAGAGCAGTCGAGTCCACTTGGTTAATTGCAAGTAACCCACGGGTAAGTTAGTATGATTTGACTCAGTAAGTTAAAGACTCACTTGCACCCGAGATCCTTTTCGAGTGTATTTTTTGCCTTGTTTTGGTTTTAAAAGAGACCTGGTTTCTAAAAGTTGTTTTCCTATTGGTTCAAAGCCAAAGATAGCAATTTTTCATAGGTGATGAAATTACGCAAATGTGCTCGGATGCCCGTGACCTCTCAAAACAAAACTTATAAATGAAAAAAAGGAATGTTTAAAGCAATAAAGCTTGCCCTACCCTCAACTCTAGCCTAAATCATCGCATCACAGACGAGGAAATTTTCCACTCCCTTTTCGACACGAATACGGTACAGCCAAAGATTAACATCTTTTCTGATTAAGACATTTTAACCAGTTAATCCTTTCGTATTTGTTGTTTTAGGAGGATCGTGTAGGATCTGAGCTGAAAGCAATGATAAGGGCCCCGCCAGGGTACTCGTTGGTAGGTGCAGACGTGGACAGTCAGGAATTGTGGATTGCTGCTGTACTGGGCGACGCCAATTTTGCTGGTATTCATGGTAAGATCTTGTTTTTTATATATCTTTTTCAAGACAACCTCTGACCGAAACAGCTTCTCACCGTTTCTAGTGATGTGGCGGTTCCCAAAGCTTCGAAAATCTTCACTATCAGTTCAATTAAGCTTTGAATTTACGCATGCTCTCATATCAGTGTTCTGCAAGCCTATCCCACATGGTATAGTGATCTTTTCACATTTGTCATCGTTCAGTGCTAAAAGTATGATTGGTTGCAGGTAGCACAGCGTTTGGTTGGATGACGTTACAAGGCAGCAAGTCAGACGGTACAGATTTACACAGTACGACCGCTAGCACTATTGGCATCAGCCGTGATCATGCTAAAGTAAGGAATAAAACAAATAAGAGAAGGATTATTGAAACAAAAGTACAACAAAAATAAAAACAAGCAAGCGAATATAACTACAAACAAACACAACAGAAGCAAAAACAGATCAGGGCTAAAAGGAGCAAACAAAGCTAACAAAGTAATCAGGCTTAAAACTTATTCTTTTCATATATAACAGGGTCGTGGCATACTATATAGGATCAAGGGTCAGCGTTATTTTAAAGGGCTGATCATAGGCTGTCCAACTATTGCTTGAGAGAAGAAAACAATGAGTTGCAAATACTTTTTATTTATTTATCGACGTGCGCTCTTAGTATAATGCGGATTACCTGAGTTATTACGTCAGGATCCCAAGTGCAGTCATTTAACACGTCGTATTGTGTTTTAGGTCTTCAACTATGGCCGAATCTATGGTGCTGGTCAGCGGTTTGCCGAGCGCTTGTTGCTTCAATTCAACCATAGATTGACTGACAAAGAAGCCAAAATGAAAGCTGAAACTTTGTACGGCAAGACCAAAGGAACAGTGAAGTATGCTGACAAATGCCAAAATAGGACATAAACTGTTTTGTTTCAGCGAATAGCTCTTGAATGACGTCATATTGATTTAGACGAGATGTATTATGGTATTGACAAGTCTTTTGTAACTTCTAATCTAATCTAGGATCTATAATTTGTTTACATTTCGGTTCATTAACATATCATTAGCATAAGCATATAACGTTTTAACCCAACTATCAGTAAATCAGCACTGAATATATAAACAGCATGCCACAAGCTTTCCTAGCAATACACCTTTTCAGTTGCTTTTAGGCCTCGACAGCGTGTTAAATATTCTTTTGAATTTGTAGGAATGTGAGCAATGCAAACATTGATATGAATAGTCTCATTTGTAAAATTGAAAGGAATAATTAACTTGATATCGAGGCCTAAGTGCAACTGAAAAGGTGTATTTTGAGCTTCCCATATGAAATACTTTTACGTCAAAGAGTTTTAAAATTCCAATTTTAGAGAGATTATATAAGCTAATTAGCGCTTTTGCCACTCAGCATCTTTGAACCCTAATATCTCATAAGACTATTGCATGTAAAGACCTCAAACGTTCGTAGTTTATAGTTCTTGATAAGCCCTTTTACGTCTCGAACTTATTTTACAGTTTTTTTTAATTTCACTTTATGCTAATTAGCAAAATTTTGTAAACAAACATCCACCTATATATATTTTAAAATTATGATATCACCCCATATTTTCGTAGGTATAAGCTTTCAGACTATGGGTACCAGGTAGCTGATAAAATAGGTCGACTACATGACGTGGATGAAAATGGTTGCGTAGAGCCGAARGTGTACTGGGAACTAGCAAGAAAATCTCACCGTGCAAGGTAAGTGCAGTGAAAAAGGCCTGGGCAACAGGAAAGAGATTTACTAAACAATACTCAATTTTGTAATTTCTTTTGCGCAAAATTAACTTCAATCAAGCTTTGTATTCTTTGTACACAAAGTGTTTGCATTACAATAGATTTTCTGCTGAATAAAAGAATATATTACATGCATTCGAGGTTATAAAGGCTGCACAAATAAAATCTCGAAACTGGAGCATTGCAACCGCCAAAGAGCTTCTTAATCAATTTCTTCTCATCCATGATCAACTGGTATCCGTTATTAGCATTTGATTGAAGATAAAAATGAATCGTGATATCAGTAAAAACTTACTTTTTATTACCATTTTATATGCACGCTTCGACCTATGCTCTGTTCATTGCAAATGCAATTCTTTCTGTCACATTTGTAATGAAAAAACGTCACGAAAAATCCTAGGTTTCCTGTGTACTCTTGTGTTATGTATATTWTTRCTTACGTGTAAAAAGTATTTTCGGATTTTTTCTGAGCACTGCAAAAGTTGATTTTTTCGTCTATGTTTTCTTCTTGTAAAGGGGAAACAAACTGAAAAAGAGTATCGAATGTGGTCGTGTTTGGCAGGGAGGAAGGTAAGGMAGATTTTAATTCATTGTAGAATAATTTTGTGCTATTAGGGAAAAAGGGCTCGGCCTGTCTGTTTCTTACCCACTTTCCATTCATCCATTTTGCGTCCTTTCATTTGTTCACTCATTCTTTTGATTTCACTTTTTGCAAATCTGTTCATTTTTTCCTTCGTATTTCGTAATTGATATATTTTTTATTGATTCGTTAATTCATTCCCAGTGAATCTGAGATGTTTAACAAATTGGAAATGATTGCTCAGTCAGAGGAGCCCAAAACGCCCGTTCTTGATTGCCGAATAAGTCGCGCCCTTGAACCAGGGATCGTGGGAAACGAGGTATTGACGAGTTATTTTCAAACATTTATAATGTCTAGTCAACGAACGTCCTCTTGTTGTAAGTCAGCTTTGTTCATATTGTTTATTACTTTTGTTAACTATTTGATGTGTATCAGAGCAAACGCACTTGCACTGTGAAACATAATCAAAGAAGTAATAACTATTTTTAACTCTAAGATTGCGAAGCAATCGAAGAGTTATTGGAGGGGGACGAATCTGTCACTCACTCAGTCAGTCTTTCAGTCACTCACTTTTCTGTAAACTTTTTTTTTATTTTTCAATATTCTTTCTGTAGTTTATCACTAGTCGGGTGAACTGGGTCGTCCAGTCCTCTGCCGTGGATTATCTTCACTTGATGCTGGTGTGTATGAAATGGCTGTTTACCGAGTACAACATCGATGGACGATTTTGTATCAGTATACACGATGAGGTTAGATATCTCCCCATGTAAGAGAATTCGGAATCCGAAATCCAGTAAAAAAAGCAGTACCCTGTCAGGGTTCCTGCAGGTCCTTAAATCCTTGAAAAGTGCTTGAATTGAAAACTCGTTTTCAAGGGCACTTGAAACTCCTTGAAAATTTGAAAATTTCGAAAAAGTCCTTGAAAACTCCTTGAAAAAGATAAATTTCTATCACGATGCGCTAGCGATCATTGAGGAAAGAATGTACAATTAGCATGATTATGATGTTCCTTGAAAATTGCAATTTTGGTCCTTGAAAAGTCCTTGAAAAGTCCTTAGATTTCGTTTTTGATACTTTGCACGGACCCTGCCTGGACTCCGGAATCCTTTTCCTGGAATTCGGAATCCAAATATTTGGAATCCAGAATCTAGAATCCAGCAAAAAAGTATTTTTTTTTTGAATCCCGAATTTCTCTTCCTTTAGCGATACTTTATTATTTTTAATTACTAGTTTCCTCTCGCAGCCGTCATGATGCTCGTTCCCAGGTCTTTACGTTTTTATTTTTGTTTCTATCTGTTGTAAGGTTCGTTATTTAGTGACACACAAGGACAAATATAGAGCAGCTTTGGCTCTGCAAATTACAAATCTTCTGACACGAGCGATGTTTGCTTACAAGCTGGGCATAATGGATCTGCCACAGGTAAAACTTTATAAGGTTATCCAAGGGCGGATCAAGGAGGGTGATTGGGGTTGCTACAATCCCGGACAAAACTGTTGAGACGTTTCTTAAAATATGTTGAATTTCGATGATCTATTTGCCTATTTCTGTGCAATTCTCCCCCTTTCCCCCTCTAATCAATGTTGAAAGGACTGAACAATCATGCACACCCTTCTTGAATCACGTCACACACACAACATTGCTTGGTGGGGGGAGGGGAGGATCAAAATCAGTGATTTTTTAGAGATACGAGAAATGGGATATTTTGCAGTGAAAAAATGCCAGTGTCTCAACTAGTTTTGTCCGGGATTGTAGTT